AGGGCCGAGTCAATAACGGTGACCCAGTCGTTAACTGGAGTGATCCTGAAATTTTCTGTTGAAAATGCGTAGCTCTCCATTCCTTTCAAAGTGTGGGAAAGTTTGACTCACATCTGTTTCTTGATGCTAGAGACGCAAATATCGACTTTGTTGGCTGATCCAATAGCGATGCCACCACGTCCACCAGAAAGAAGCTGTAAAATAGCCATCAAATACAAGTCATTATCCCGACATTTCTCCACAGGTATTATCAATAAAAACCTAGCAGTTGCAAACGAAGTGTACAATTCAAACTAACATCATTGAAGACCCCAGAGATGGAATTGATCCTCTTCTTGAGCTCATCTCGTGCGTCTGTGATACACTGGCAGGTGGCAGTTCGTGTTTGCGGGATCGTTGATGCACAAGTTCCAGTGGCGACACGAGAATCACATGAGGCAAGGACTGAAACCAAACAAGATTGCATTGGACAAATTGTAGCCCCAACTAGTTGCTCATTGGAAATGGCACCAATCAAAACTGAGCTACTGTTCAACATGAGCGGTTCTTGTCTTTCATGAAAAATTCAACGAGCAGAATATGCCACAGATCATAGAGATCAGAAAACAGGTTCCTACGAAAGCTTATCATGAATGAAAAATCTATGGCCATTTTCAGCACACTTATCTGATTTTAAGATCCCCTTAGATGAAAGTACCGCCACCATCACTCGTTGTATTTGATGTTTTGCAACACCACGACTTGTTGTAAATAGTGTTGTGCAACACCATTACTTGTTGCAATTGTTGTGTGGCAGCACCGCAACTGTTGTAGACGGTGTTGAGCAACACCACAACTTTTTGTAAATGGTGTTTAGCAACATCATCACTTGTTGTATTTGGTGTTTGGCAGCACCGCAACTTGCTGTAAATGGAGTTATGCAATACCATTACTTGTTGCAATTTGTAGCAACACTGCAGCAGTTGCATATGGTGTTGCAACATCAGAACTTTTTGTAAATGGTGTTTAGCAACATCATCACTTGTTGTTTTTGATGTTTAGCAGCACCGCAACTTGCTGTAAATGGAGTTGTGCAACACCATCACTTGTTGCAGTTGTGTAGCAGCACTGCAACAGTTGCATGTGGTGTTAATCAGCACCACAACTTTTTGTAAATGGTGTTTAGCGACATCATTACTTGTTGCCGGCGGTGTTTAGCACTAATACAACTTGTTGTAATTGGTGTTGAGCAACACTGAAACTTGTAATTGGTACTGAGCAGGACCACTTTTGCTGCAGACTTCCCCAACTGTCAGCCTTGCTGCAGGTGTTGAGTAGTGCTTTCCTATGCAGTAGCACCGTTACTTGTTGCAAGCG